ATATAATATGAAATAATTTCTTGAATAAGTTAGTAGGAAAGTTAGATTTTAAAAGATTTAGATCAAATCTTAAAAAATAAAAAAATAAAAAAATAAAAAAAAAGTTATAACATATAACAAGTTATGCTTATTCCATAATTTTTTTAAATAGGCCAAACTTAATTAAGTAAAAGTAATGATACATATATAAAAGTTCATACAACAATTTATATATATAATATTAATTTTTGTGTCTATATATTTCTGTTATCAATAAATTTAATAAATGATGTAATAGAAAGAGATAAACACAAAAAATAATATTAGTATTGTACAAATTGTTCTACAATTTTATTATACATGTATGATTTTTCATTAAGTAAAGCCTTTCACAATTTAGCTTATCTTCATTCCTAATCATGCATAATATTAAATAGGGTACTCTGAAAAATGGAAAAGTTGTTGCCGTGAAGAAACTAGTGATGGGGAAATCAAGCAAGATGGAGGACGATTTTGAAGGCGAAGTGAAACTTATAAGTAATGTTCATCATCGAAACCTCGTCAGACTCCTTGGTTGTTGCATCAAAGGCCGAGAAAGAATCCTAGTTTATGAATACATGGCAAATAGCAGTCTTGATAAATTCATATTTGGTAACTCTTGTCAACCACAAATAGAAATACCATTTTAAAAATTATTTATTATTTTCATTTCTCGTCAACAATCTTTCTTCAAAAATAGGTAGCAGAAGAGGTTCCCTCAACTGGAAACAACGCTATCACATAATTTTAGGCACGGCAAGGGGACTAGCATATCTACATGAGGAATTCCATGTATCCATCATACATAGAGATATAAAGACTGCTAATATCCTCTTAGATGATGATCTTCAGCCCAAAATTGCAGATTTTGGGTTAGCAAGGCTTCTACCAGGAGATCGTTCTCATCTTAGCACAAAATTTGCAGGAACATTGTAAGGAAAAATGATTATTGCATTTACTTGAATTTCTTGAAATTTGTTTTAGCATCAAGTTTAGCATAAGATACAAATTAAAAACTTATGAGGGAAAAATGCAACATACTATGTGTAAATGTTATTTTATTAACAATGAACTAACATCGTGCACTTGCCAGAGGATACACAGCACCTGAGTATGCAATGCATGGTCAATTATCAGAGAAGGCTGATACCTACAGCTATGGTATTGTAGTCTTGGAAATCATAAGTGGTCAAAAGAGTACTGATGTGAAGAATGATGAGGTTGATGAATACCTTCTTCGAAGAGTAAGCAAGTTGTTATATAACTATAGAAATTGTTGATTTTCTTAAGATGTTTAGTTCTATGATTATGAGACCTTTGATTTTTCACTTAATAGTCATGGAAACTGCATGAAAGAGGCTTGCACTTGGAGCTTGTGGACAAGGCAATAGACCCTAATGAATATGATGTAGAAGAAGTGAAGAAAATCATAGAAATTGCTTTACTATGCACTCAAGCATCAGCTGCAACGAGACCAACAATGTCTGAAGTAGTATCCCTACTCAAAAGCAAGAGCTTATTGGAGCACCTGCGACCAAGTATGCCTGTGTTTGTTGAAACAAATATTGCACCTCGGGAAAGCGACACTAGTTCATCTAATGCAACAACCTCCATTTCTGTTGTATCAGCTCGATGATTAATTATGAGATGTTGCAAAGGTTATTCATCACTTCAACCAATAAAATAATAAAATAAATTAGATACAGGATATGTTTGAGTAAACTTATCCATAAACACTTATAGGAAAGAGAAATTGGAAGAAAAAATTAAATAATTTCTTTATAAATTAAAATTAATTTATGCATATGTTAATTTGTAAAAATTCTATTTAATTAATTTCTCAAAATTTTTATTTTTAACTCTTACATAAGCTAATTTTAACTTATGAAATAGTCTGTTTTAATTTTTTTCTTATTTTTTTCTAAAAATATTTTTTAGAGATGCTTATTCAAATATATTAAGATTGTTTTTCATTTCAGTTGTTAATCAATGGTACAAGTAGAACGTACGTTGTCAAATAGTGGCTGTAGTGCTGTTGATATTTATTTGGTAGAGTATAGAATTCAGAATGTTTTTGCCCACGTGAGATATTATATGTTTTCTATTTATCTCGTTCAAAATCATGCAACTCTGAGTCCAATTTGATTCCTCGCTCTTTGTTGGTTGATTTTATCGTAAACGAAGAAGATTACTTATTTACCTTGCTTTTACTTAGTTTAAAAGTGCTTAATCCATGTTCTTTGTCTGGTTGAAATTGTAAACTTGTCCCTATTAGCATACAAGAGTTTTCTTTCCTAAATACTTCAACCACATTCCTAATGTGCCCTAGGTGGTCATCAAGTAACATGCTATATATCGAAATAGACAACCACATATTTATCAACAAAATGTCAAAATATGGTTCATAAGCCTATAATAAAGTTTCTAGGGGCATTTGTCGACAATCCAAAAAGTCACCAGGGTGACGATGGGATAAGTTGGATAGTAAATTTTGTCACTTATCTAATCTAATTTATTGTGATTATTCATTTAATAGATATTTATCAATTTTATATATATTTATTAGTATTTATGAATATATGTGAATATTTGTAAAATTTTAAATAAAAAATAAAATAAAATAAAACTAAAAATAAATAATTTTAAAATATACTTCTTCTGTATCGTGTTTAAAAATAAAATAAATTTTAAAATAAGTGTTTTGTTAGATTTTCAGTATAATATTAATTAATTTTTTTCATTAATTATACTTTCTTTGTTCTCTATTATAAGTAAAAATACATTTTTATTCATAAATTTAAGCAAATTTAACTACTTTTACATCATTTAATAATATTTTTTTCTAAAATATCTCTCTTTTAATATATGATTTTTTTAGTTGTACTTTTTTTTTTTTTGTATTTATAATAAGGACAATTTAGAAATAATCTTATGGAAACAACAAAATTTAATGTTAATAACTAATTTACTTATAATAAAGAACATACAAAGTACCTCTAATAATATTATTTAGAAAATGGTTATTGTGTTGCATCATTTCTAGCAAAGAAAATTAATTTTTTTTAAAATCGTTATTCTCTTTCATTTATTTATTTGCTTCTCTTGATTTATGTAAAATAACTTAAGATGACACTTATTAATTTTGAAATGGAAGCAGTATATTTCTATTAAAATTAATTTTATAATATATATTTGTACTAAAAATAAATAATTATAGCATACACCTTTCATTCTCTTTTATAATTAAAAAATGGTTTCACACATAATAAAAAATTAGTTAATTAAATTAATATTTACTAATCCAATAATACCTTTATAATGCTACTCTTGTTACAAATGTTTAAAAAGTAGTGACATCAAATAATTATACACCGAAGAAAAAATATTTTAAAAATAATATTATTAAATAAAATAAAAATAGTTAAATTTTCTTTATATTTAAAAATAAAAATATATTTTATTTTTTATCTATTAAAAAAACACTAAAATTCGAATTTTTTTGTGTATACTATATATGTGTGTGTGGATAGTTATATAAGGTTAAGTTGCAAATGCGTGATGTTGAATCTGTATTTAATTGAACTATGAACTACTCGTTAACAAGCTGATGATGAATGAAGGAGTCCGTTAGTTAATTAATTATTAAATGAAGGCTGAAACTTTCCCTTAAGAATTTTTATATGGGTCGATCAATGATTTTGTCGATGACGTTTAACCCAAAATATTAGTTATATGTGACATTGACCGATTGAAGTGGTCACTATCAGCTACGTAGAATTGAGACCATCCACAACGTGGCTTAGACTCTTCAACCAATCTAATCCAACATGTTTGAATGTAAACAGATTACCATATACCATTGACCATGTCGTATTGATCACTATCAAGTTTTAATATCTTAATTATATTTAACAACACATTTCATGTTAGAAATCTCACTTGTACACATTGTATATATATAACCAGTAGGATTAAGGACAAATTATAAAATTATAAATCACACAAGCCTCCAAACATATATATACATAATGATGAATAATTTGGGTCACGTTCACACCATGTGTTATGGTTAGATGTAGAATAATATATCTGGTCAACATATTATTGAATTTAAAATAAATTTTAAAATGAGATTTTTTAAATTAATAATAATATTTCAAATAAAAAAAATATTAGAAATAGATGTTGAAAAAAATAATTATATTTATATTAAGTGAATTTTGAAAATGTCAAAAATATTTTTAAATTATGGAACTTTGAAAAAATTATATAAATATTAATATAAAATATTTTTTTAAAGGGGCATAAAGCAAACTATAACGAAGTTTGTTAAACAATCATGCATTAATGTCAATGACCAAAAATCGACTTATAAGATTTATTCTAATTCTTTGATAATAAATGTTATCAGTGTTATATCTAGATCGTAATTCTAAAAGAGTTTTTCAACCTTAGTTAAAATTATAAAATCATGCATTGCGCAAAACATGTATTAAGTATAAGAATAAAATGATTAACTAAATAAAATCAATATATTGAATGAGAACAAAGAAGATTATATTAGTACAACAGCTACATCAATCTCCAACAGAAGAGGACTTAGTCACTCATGACTAAGGTTTACACAAGAGGAAAAGGACCTTTAAGTGACCCATAATTATAAGAATGATCTCACAAAAACCCTTTTTAATTTCTTTAAAATTGTGTTAAGAAAAGTAAGAATGAATATTGAGACTTCTTAAAATCCTTTTTTTATAATATTTTTAATAGGTTTTTTCTCAATTGGGCTTGTAATGTCTTCTCACTCAAAGCACTTATGTAGTTTGCTTTGAGCAAGCATGTACATACTTCTAGGGGTACTTTCTGACTTTACTTGCTTCAAGCGGTGATTTGGTCACTTTGAGCGAATTTTACTAGCTTAAAATAGTATTCTATGTAGCTAAAAATTATAATTCTCCTTTGAAATTTGTAACTTCCAAAATATTTTTCTATGTGTTATATCTCAACAAAGAAAATATTAAAAATACCTAATGTTTAAATAATTAAATTCTAAAATTGAAATTAACTTTTGACTTATTATTTTATGGTCAAAAACAAAATTTATAAGCGTAGAATATTTCAATAATTACCTAAATTAAATAATATATATATATAATATATATATATATATATTTTACAATTATCACTTCCTCTTTCAACATAAGGGATAGATAGAAAGTTGTGTGGTACATAGTTATTTGGAATTTATGGGGACATAGAAAATTTTGTGTATTTAAATGAAGGATTTTTGATAGATTAAAACTGTTACAAAGACATAATGTTCACATCATTTGTTTGGTTAAGATTCAATAAAAAAAAAATAATAAACATTTTAATTTTAGCTTTGAGTCAATGGATGGTAAGTCTTGAGACTTGCATATCTTATGCCATCAATTGAGGAAGGGCATTTATTGTTGACAAGGTATAGGTGTAGATTGTAGAAATAGAGGATTTAATAGTTTTTTTTTTTTTTGTGTGTAAAATCAATTATAGTTGTAAGTTGTCCATTTTAGTTGTAAGTACTTTGAGACGATTTTTGTTTGTAACACGAATGGATACTTAGAGAAAGAAGATTACATGAGAAATATTTCCGTATAAATAAAAATTATATAGATTGAATTCCCCTCATTTGGTGAAATCTTTTTTCCCGTCTACAAAATAAATTAAGAAATAAAAAGTAGAGCATAACTAGTTAGCAAAGATGTATATATTTATTTCATGTTTTCTTACTAGTGATGCGTCACTTTTGTTAATATAAAAATATAATTTTTTTCATTAGATCGACCTATAAAAATAAAGCGATATATACAATATCCTAATTTTGAAAGTGTAATTGTAAATATAATTTCAAAATAAAATAATAATACCTACGATTGTAGCATCCTACTCATATCAATACTTAATTAAACAACACAAGTTTATTCTCTTCAATATCTCATTAATAATACGTTAAAAAGCCTTGTCATGTATGTGGTACTTAATTAAACCCAGTTGATTTCATAAACTAGATCGTCTCACAAAGGAAAAGATTAATTAAAATGCTTAAATTCTGACGTATTTCAGACGACGTTGGTATTTATTTTAATTTGATATATCTTTTAAAATAAAGTGACATAAAAATGTCGCGTACATAATTTATGTACAAATTAATGAGTATGAGAGGCGTGTAGTTTTGCGCATCTTAAGAAAATAATTCACATATTAAGTAAACGCCGAATTTTCAAAGCACCTTATCCGTCTTGACTACGCTTAATTTCTACAGTCATTATATTGCTCATTAAATAGTCCACTCAACGCCATCGCATCTCCTTCTTTCAAAATTCATAAGTCATTTTTTTTTGTGATGAAGACTTGTAAACTCCTTGCTCCTTATATTGTTAATGAATGAAGAAATTATATTTTTAGACATTATTTTATATTTTAAATTTGGTTAATTTTGTCTTTATCTTCTAAAAAAATTAATTTAGTCTTTTATGTTTATAGAGTGATTAATTTCAAAGTGTTCTTTCTGTGACAATCCTAACGGTTATTAATGTTAAAAAAATTCAAGTTGATCCGTTAATTACACATTGTCATATAGTTTTAATATATGAATTATGTGAAGGACTACATTGAACTTTATTCAAAATATTTATAAATAAAAATGATCCACTTGAACTTATTTATTAAAAGCATGAAAGACCAATTATTGAAACATATTGGGTATGATGAATATAAACTGTGTTCAAACATGACCAATTGAACAAATTTAAATCAATTAAGGATTATGAAAATAAATGTATCCACATAATAATTTTACAAAATTAAAGTTTTAAGTGATAGCACACTACATTACAAAACATATGAAGTTTCATTTGGTATAATCATTGTAAAAAAATATATAGCTACATCAGACTAGTAAAAAAAAACTGCACATCTTAATTATGTAGCTAAAATTAGTCCATAAAAAAGTTGGACAAAGATTTTATATCCGAATGACTAACTCAAATTAATCATAAAAAAAACATATTTGAAGCTTCTCGTGTCAATACGTAATGCAAATCTTTATAAGGTATTGTATATGTTACCTATGTAATTCTATTAAGATCCACCTCAACAAACCAATTACCTAAAAGAACAATGCCTCCATTTAAATTCCCTTGTTATTTATTTATTTATTTTGCTATTTGTAGCTAACAAGTAGGGATGACAATGGGGCGGGGCGGATACGGGTTTTATGATACCCGTCCCCGTCCCCGCGAGTCAAATCAAAGAAGCTTCCTAACTTAACCAAAGCAACAACAAACCATGACACCTAACTTATGGTTTAGAAACCTAAGCCCAACTGTTGAACTTTCAAACTAACAAAAAAAACATCAACACATGTAAAAACATTAAACATAGCTAATAATAGGAAAATATATATTGAAATTCTTTTATTAACTTAGATTCAATTTGATCCTCCCTCTATAAAGTAGATTTAATTTGTTCATTTATGCTTTCAATATATTTCAATTTGGTCCTCATATAAGTCATTTATAATATAAAAAAAATGTCAATACCATTAACAATCAACTCATTTTTTTTCTTTTATAAACAATCAACGCATAAAAGATTAAATTGAAATTTTAAAAGATAAATTACCCAACTAAATCGAAAAAATACTAAAAAGGGTAATGTAACCTTGATTAATTATGATTATGATCTATACATAAAATAACAAAAATGTTTGTCGTGGAGCCCTTGGACGTACTCTAGGGTTATTCTGTGACTAATTTAAACACGAAGACTATAAAGACAAGGAAAGCCAAGTCCAAGTTCGTGATATATAGCAATACACTTCATTAATTCCATCTCCACCAAACACAAACTCCTAAAAGATGTTTCAACTTAATCTTGTGGCCTTGATGACTTTGATGTGGTGGAGCAGTAGTATAGTTGAAGATGCAGTTGCAGACCCACAGACGAATCTGATAAACCCAGGGTGCAGCACATACAACGCTTCCAACGTGCGAAGCTTCTATGCGAATATCAATGGAACGTTTGCAGAGTTGAGAGGAGAGGTGAAGAATGAGAGCACGCACTTTGCGACGGCACAGGAAGCGAGAGGAGATGTTGTGACGTATGCGATGCTTCAATGCAGAAACTATCTCTCCAAAAATGACTGTCTTGCTTGCTTTGACACAGCTTCCACCCAAATCCGCAACTGCTCCTCCGCCAACGGTGCAAGAGTCATCTATGATGGCTGCTTCCTCAGGTACACAGTCTCATCAGATCAATTTCTTTATAAACACTTATAAAATAAAATTAAATTATTTTTTTTTTTAATTTTTATAACTTCATTTACTTTATTTTTTAATCTCTATAATTTAAATTAGATATTTTTAATTTCTGTACTTATTTTTTAATCATTTTTAGTGTTTATGATTTAAGATAAAATCATTTTAATCTCTATTTAAAATTCTTTTAATGTTTTTGCTTTCTTGTAACGTTGTCTATTTCATGTTGACATGACAATAATATTATTTTAACTTTATGTATTTGATGTTGAATTTATTATGTTAAAGTTACTTTAAATTATGTTCTTGAGTTTTCATGTTTCTTTCCTATCCTTATTATCAACATCTATTGTTGAAAAAAAAATTTAATCTCACAAAATTAGAAATCTCTAATATGTTAATATAAAACAAATAATGTTGATAGAAACTAAAAAGATTAAAAATACTTTAAATATAAAAATTAAAAAATAAAGTAAGTAAAATTATAAAAATTTAAAAAGTATTTTAATTTATAAAAATAAAAATAAAAATGATAATTATTTTTGTAAATTAAAATTAAATTATACATAATAAGTTAAAAAAAAAGTAGAGAACGTTATAAAAAAAAAAAGTCTGCAAATTAAATTATAAATTACAGGTTTGATGGGAGCTGTTAGTTTTGGAGTTGAATTCTCAACTTTCAAGTCCTCAATTCTAAACTTGCAAATTGTTGAATAGGTTTATTTTATTTTTAAAAAGAAAATTATTTCACCTTTTTATTTTTTTTCTCTGATTAATAAAATTTATAGGTAAATTTATCCAAACAGGTTAATTTTAATTTAAAAAATCATCTTTTAATTGTTTTATAAATTAATAAATTTTATAGATAAATTTATCCAAATAAACTCATAAAAATCATATTCAGCATCCAAGAGTTCAAGGACTTAATTTTAATTATATATATATACGATCAAATATAAACTATGGAAAATATTACATTTTTTTTATGTCTATATGATCTTAGCTATATAATTACACAATCAGATCGTCTCATTCTTTTGACTCTAACTTCTTATAAGGTCCTCTTACATAATGTATTGATGAAATTATATGGTATAAGTTACATTAATTATTATACAGTCAATAATATATAGAATATGATTTTTATTGATTCAATAATTGAATTATATAATTATATATTATGTTATATTTTTCTATTAAATTTTGTTGAAATTAAATAATAAGAAAGCCAATAAAATTATAAATTATATATATATGCTAATTTAATATACATGGATGGAGTATTAAATAATTTTATATTCATATAAAAAGAATATGGTTTACATGTAACAATCACAATAATAAAATGTAGCAATCAAACATATTTTAAGCCAAACTAAAACCACGCAATTAATAATCAAACTTAAAATAATGATTATTTGTTGGAAATAAAAAATACTATAATATAGTTTGCTCATGATTCAGTCCTCATGTATAAATAATAATACACTTTATGTTAATATAGAAAATTAACGTGAGCAGGTATGAGAGCGAGAGGTTCTACGATCAGACGAATGAACTTGGCAGTGGCGTATCATGTGGAAACATAAGTTCAAATGTCACTGGTTTAAAATCAGTTGGACAACAAGTGCTGACCAATCTCCAAACTGCAACACCAAAAATCAAAGGGTTTTATGCAGCTACTAAGACACAGGTGGTTGTTGGTGGTGCTGCAATCTATGCCATTGCACAGTGTGTTGAAACTACCACTGAGGCTAAATGTCTCAGTTGCATGCAAGTTGGATACAACAACTTACAAAGTTGTCTTCCCAACACAGAGGGTAGAGCTTATGATGCTGGTTGTTTCATGAGATACTCTACCACACGCTTCTTTGCTGATAATCAAACCATTGATATCACACCCTATTTAAAACAAGGTACAATTACAACAAATTCTATATATAGTTTCTTAAAGCATTTTCTATTTTTATAAATAATCATAAAAAAAATATGATTTAAAATAAAATTACGTACTGACTTGTCTGGTCCAATTCTATTTAGGGTCAGACTGACTATTTTTTGGCATCTTTATATCTAAGTCAATGAAAAAGAATTTTTATTTTTATGGACTTTACTCTATCTTCTTGTTTTTATCGTCTTTTCAATATATTTTTTTTAAAATACGAAATAAAATATATAAAAAAAATCCTGAATGTATATTTAATTTTGGAAGTGAAGAAAATTTCCTTCATGTACTACAGGAGGTTCAAGCAAGAAGTGGGCCATTATAGGTGGTGTTGTAGGAGGTGTTGTTCTCATCCTTGCCTTGTTTGCTTGGCGATGGTTTACAAAACCAAAGAGGGTTCCCAGAGGTAATTAGTAAATGTGGAAAACACTTCAAATGTAATAATGTTTGCTATTAAATATTAAGTAGTTCATGCTTTTCACTTTTAATGCTTTTCAAATAGAAGAAAAGATAAAATTATAAGCAGTACGAAGAAGATTAATTTGTTCAAAGCCATTATAATTTCTTTATTTTGTTTCCTAATTTCCTTCATGATTGGTTTTGATTATTTTTGCAAAAGCTTTCTTAATATTTTCTATATATAAATTGTTTTAGTTACAAATTAAGCTAATCTTGAAGTCAACTCTCATTTATTTATTGCAAAGTCAAAACTGGGGTGTTCCTTGGCAGGTAACATATTGGGAGCAACTGAGTTGAAAGGTCCAGTTAACTACAAGTATAAAGATTTGAAAGCTGCAACAAAAAATTTCAAGGCTGAAAATAAACTTGGAGAAGGAGGTTTTGGTGATGTATACAAGGTATATATTTATGCTGTATTTTTTAATAGGATAAGATTTTTTTTATCTTTTTTAAAAAATAATTTTTTTAGTCTTTAAAAAAATTACATTGTTCCCATGATTTGAAAATGTATTACTTTTGATTGTTAAAATGATTTAAATAAAACTATCTAAACCAAACCTATATATAATCGCTAACTAAATCAACTTGAGAACAAGAGTTATGCTTTTTTATATTAGAGTGAATAAAATAAAACAATGTAATATATTTTAATGGAAAGCATGGAAGAAGACAATGATAATTGTGTGATTTATTTTAATTTTTCAATTAATATATTTTTTATTTGATAAATTGTTTTATTTTTATAAATAGTTGCAAAAATATTACTTTATTTTCTATTTACATTAAAAATAACAAAAAATAACATTTTTTTTCCAAATTTTTGGTACAAATTTTAAAAAATATGAAATAAAGTGAAAATAAAATAACATTTTTGTAAATAAAAAGAAAAATAAAATTTATTTACCAAATAAAACTAACTCTTACGCTTTGTTTGAATTAGGAATGAAATACATAGAAAAGAAATAAGAATAATGATACAAATAAAAGAAAAGCAAAATAAAAAATATGTGCGCTTATATTAATAAAAAAGAAAAGGATGAGAGGAATACCTCTTGGCTTTTTTGGATTAGTATAAATAAATAAATAATATATAATAAAAAACGTTTATACTATTTAAAAAAAAATAGCCAATTTTGTACTCCATTACTTTTCCTTCTTAATTTAAAATTGTTTATTACTTAAATATATTTATATCAAATATTAATATTTTAAGAGATCAAAACAACTTAAAGAAATGAAGAATTAGTATGTCCTTTGCATCTCATTTTATGTCAGTTTAAGAGGAAAGTGTTTCTCTGTATATTAGACCTCACATGAATGTGTTCTCTCTCTTTCTTCCTTTCAAACAAATAATAAAAGTTTGATATTTTTTATTCATCTCTATCTTTTATATTTTCATCCAATTTAAATACATGTTATGATTTTAAAAATCATATAGATGTAGTTAAAGCTACATATATAGCAAATTAGCAAAGCAAAAAAAAAAAAAAAAAAAAACTCATCTGTGAGCCATACTATTAAACAGGGTATTCTAAAAAATGGAAAAGTTGTTGCCGTCAAGAAACTAGTATTGGGAAAATCAAGTAAGATGGAAGATGATTTTGAAGGCGAAGTGAAGCTTATAAGTAATGTTCATCATCGTAATCTTGTTAGACTTCTGGGTTGTTGCAGCAAAGGCCAAGAGAGAATCTTAGTTTATGAATACATGGCAAATAGTAGCCTTGACAAATTTTTATTTGGTAACTCACATCAACCTTCAATTGAATCATATTTTTGAATACTTATTATGTTTCTTCTCGATCTTTTCCATAAACTTAAGTGTATGAACATGGAAAACAGGTGACAAAAAAGGTTCTCTCAATTGGAAACAACGATATGATATAATTTTAGGCACAGCAAGGGGACTAGCATATCTACATGAGGAATTCCATGTGTCCATCATACATAGAGATATAAAGACTTCTAATATCCTTCTGGACGATGATCTTCAACCAAAAATTGCTGATTTTGGGTTAGCAAGGCTTTTGCCAGAGGATCGTTCTCATCTTAGCACAAGATTTGCAGGAACATTGTAAGTCAACACAATTGCATTAGCTTGAATTTCTTCACATTTATTTGAGTACGTGTCAAGTTTTAGCAAAAGATAACATGTTATGTGTGAGTGTTCTTTTATTAATTATGGACTATATATTATGCATTTGTTAGGGGATACACAGCACCTGAATATGCAATGCATGGTCAATTATCTGAGAAGGCTGATACCTATAGTTATGGTATTGTAGTCTTAGAAATTATAAGTGGGCAAAAGAGTACAGATGTGAAAGGTGATGAGGAAAGTCGTGAATACCTTCTTCAACGAGTAAGCAAATTTCTATAACTAGGAATTATTGGTTTTCTCATGACATTTTACTTTATGAGTATAAGACCTTTGGTTTTCACTTTTCACTTAACAGACATGGAAGTTGTACGAGAAAGGCATGCACTTGGAGCTAGTAGACAAGGACGTAGACCCTAATGAGTATGATGCAGAAGATGTGAGAAAAATAATAGAAATTGCTTTGTTGTGCACTCAAGCATCACCTGCAACAAGGCCAACAATGTCTGAAGTAGTAGTCCTACTCAAAAGCAGAAGTTTATTAGAGCATTTGCGACCAACTATGCCTGTTTTTGTTGAAACGAATATAAAGACAAAGGAAGGCAATTCTAGCTCAACTGCTGGTTCTTCATCTAATGCTACTGCTTCCATTTCTGTTCTATCAGCCAGATGATTATGGATCAATGCGATAATGGGTCTTGAGAAGTAAGGACTATTCTGTTGGTGTTGACTTATTAGTACCATATAGAATCAAGAATGTTCTGTCAATTTTTAAAGCTATATAATTTCTAGTTTAATAGTTCCCTGTTCGAAAAAGTTTAAATCTTGTGTCTATGTATAGGTGAAAAGTGTTTAAAATTTTGTTACTTTTAGATATGATTCTTAATTTCCACTTCATATTTGATATCTCAGAACTAGATATATTGATAATTTGAGAGATTATAAATATAAATAAAGTGTCTAAAAATTTAAATTGATCCATAACTAATCCAATTTAGATTAAAATATTTGACCTATTTAGAGAAAAAAATGAATCAGTTAATTTTGTAAAATTAATTCAGTTACTTGCTCTATTTTTATAAAGTAGATCAATTTAATTTAATTTAATTTTTTAGAAAAATCAATTTATATGAGTATAAAGAAAATAATCGTATCGAACTAATTCACGCTAAAAAATTTGATCTGTATTATTTTTAAAACCGAACCAGTTCATTTTATAAAAAAAAATGAATCAATTAATCAATCTACTTTTATAAAATGAATTGGTTTAGTTCAATTTGAATTTTTTAAAATTTGATCCATAAATACCATTACATATAACATAGCCTGATAATTTTTTTTAACTAATTATTAAAATACATAAAATCCTTAAACTTAGGCTCAAATTAATTAAAAGGTTGGAATCCGGATGAATAAGGTCAAGGTTGTAGTCTAATATAATGTTAAAAGTTTTTCTTTGACATAAAGATTTTTAGGAATTTTTTAACAATTTATATAATTTAATATTTATGTATCATGATTAATTATTAATAAATTTTAATATTTTAAAATAAATTATCATTAAATAAAAATAATTTTATACTACAATATATATTATTCATCATAAATCTAAAATATAATTTGTGTAAAAATATCTATTTATACAAATTTTAAATATAATTTATATATTAA